TTCTGGTGGAACCGAACTTAGAATCTCTTCACCCAACACTTCCACTCGAAATGAAAGTAAGCTCAACAAGAATAAGCTCATCGTCGGCATCAGTAGTATCAACTAAATAATGATACATCAGTAGATTCATTGGAAAAGATTGATTATTGCTTCCGGCTATCAACTTAGTCTAGGAAGACAGATTGTATGTATTTTTCTATTTAATCCTGTCCATCTAATATACGATGAGATTTATTTGAATTTGGTCACGACCTTCTGACTGATATCATTTAGAAGAGTCTGCATAGCCTGAGATGAGTCTTCAAATATGAGAAAAATAGGTGAAAACGATTAGTAAGTAAGCGCAAAGCATCGCGTTGGCTGTGTCTGAGCGATTCGCATTCTAATTAAATTGGTTTAGGAAAGACCTTTGGAAAAATGATAAAAATCTAGGTTGCTAGGCTGGTATGTTAGTACTAAATGCATTATAGGGAAAGCTCAGAAAATATTCGGCCGAAAATGCTTAAAAGAATAAAGGTCCTGATTGTTTTGAGCAATAAAGCATAAAAAACTGTCGATATAAAAGTAGCTAGGCTTAGATGAAAATTTTAATATATAATTGTTGCGTAAACATTCATTTCTTATGAAAATGCATGATGAAGAGATTAGGTGGTTAATCTCACCGGAAGGTGACGGCTAATTACGGTTGTTTTGCAGCCGCTTGGCCTTACTAAGACTTTCAGATTGACGTAATCTCGCAGACGTCCTTCCTCATTTCGGATGAAACCGAACTAAACTTTTATCCGTAATCTGACGGAACTCATCAGAGCTGAAGTTAATACTTGTAAAAGTCTCAAAGAAAGACTAAATCAAGAAGACTCTCCGGCTCCATCATGCATGTTATATATACTCATACCTAAAAACGGAGATAGCTAGATAAAGAAATATATGGTCGATTGTCTTTCATATTAGTCAAAATACTTTTACTTTTTTTTCCGTGATTGAGTAGATTTTCGAGGCTACCAGTAAATCGAATTTTTTAGTTGATCTCACCTTATTCCCTTTAAGGTGATAAAGGACTGTTAGTTAAATTCTCCCACGATGAAATGAGTAGAGCTGATGTTTTGCATTCAATTTCACATAGCTTTGCTTTCTCAAAAGGTCTTCTCATCCAGGCACCGGTGGACTGCAGTTTCGACCTTGCATCGGTCTTATCAACACCCCCAGCGGGAGTCGAACCGTGACAGTACAGAATGTGAGCTTGTCACCTTAACCATTCGGCCACATTGCCACGAGTTTCCTTGGGTCACAGGGACGATGTGAATTTCAAGGAAAGCCAATCCTTTTCCCATATCACATTCTTTGGTGGGATTGTCGATGCAGCAAAACCTATATTTTCTATAGCAATCGACGACATTACTTTTCTCGTGACTGATTAGGTTAACTAGACTACTAGTAAATCAGTTACATGAGATGTTGATAAGACCCATGTGAGGTCAAAAGTGCAGTAAACCCTGGATACTCATATCATTGTGGGAAAATTGTACTACCAGTCCGTCATCACATTAAACGAAATAGGGCGAACACAATTCATATATATGATTTACTGGTAGTCCTGAAAACCAACTTCCACACGAAAAATGTAACCGTCGATTGCTAGTTCAAATATAAATTTGCTTCATCGACAATCCCAACACAAAATGTGATATGGAAAAATGCCCGACATTCCTTGAAGTTCACATCTGCCTTGTGACTCAAGGGCACTCGTGGCAACGTGGCGGGGTGGTTAATGTGTCGAGCTCACACGCTGCACTGTCATGGTTCGACTCCCGCTTGGGGGGTTGATAAGACCTATGTGAGGTGGAAACTGCAGTCCACTTCAGCCTGGATGAGAACACCTTTTGGGAAAGCAAGGCTATGTGAAATTGAATGGAAGACATCAGCTCTACTCATATCATCACCTTAAGCGAAGTAAGTTGAAAACAACTCATATACATTTACTTTGGTGTATATGTGGGTATGTGCGTGCATGTGTGCGAGCGTTGGCGTCCGGACGCAACAACAATTCTAATCAGAGTAATTGCAAAAGCCGAAATCAGGCCCGGATCATCAATGTTTAAGTGAGCAAAGGAAATCACAAACAAAACTGCCCATTTTTGTCGAATTAAGTATTATTTTTCGTGACTACCAGTAAATCAGTTATAAGATGTATTCACCCATTTCGTTTACGATGATGAAGCACTGGTAGAAGTAGAATTTTCCCACAATGATATGAGCAAAGCTATGTGAAAATTCAATGGAAACGTCAGCTCAACTCATATCATTCGTGGGAAAATTCTACTTCTAACAGTCCTTCAACACCTTAAACGAAATTGCGTGCATACATCTTAAAACTGCCTAAGTCCGTCAGCAATTGTGGTTGAAACGCCGAGAGGTAAGTCAGGTGACGAAAATACCCGTCGTAAATCATCATTCTAGGGTGATTAAAGGTTAACAACCATGGAAAAGACATGATTGGTTTGTGTAATCTCGTACGTCTGATTTGGTTGATGAGCTTAATCTACATACTGTACGAGTTTAACTGAAGTTGCGAATGTCACTGGGTTGACAAGTTGAGTCGCCAAAATTGGCTATTCAGTGTAAACAGATACA